GTTAGATATTTGTCATGAAACATTTGGTAGTGAACCTCTACCAAGATTATTCACATTACAGCCCAAGGGTCAAAATTAGCCTCACCCAGGGGGTCATATATTAAGGTTTTCCTTATATGTGTATAGCAAAAACTTTTAAAAAAATCTTTTTATCAGAAGGTTTAAGGCCTAGAGCTTAGATACTTGGTAAATGATATCATCAGTACGTCCTTTACCAAAGTTGTTCAAATGTTGCCACTAGTGAAATAGCACCAGGGTGTCATAGGTTTTCCTTAAATGTATAAACATGTATAGAAAAAAAAACTTAAAAAATATTCTCCTCTGGATTGACAAAGGCTAGATGTTTGATATTTGGCATGAAACCTATACCTGTGTCGTAGACCACTATCACTATTGTTCAAATTAAGCCCTGGGGTCAAAATTGGCTCTGCCAAGGAGTCTTCTTAGGTTTTCCTTACATGGTATGTATATAGTAAAACCTAAAAAAAAATCTTGTCTGAATGTACAAGGTTTACCAGGCACCAGGGTGTCTTAGGTTTTTCTTAAATGTATATACATGTATAGAAAAAAACTTAAACAAGATTGTTTTAATTTTAGCCCTGGGATAAAATTTGCCTTGTGCGAGGGTTGGGGGAGGGAGTCATTAATTTTCGTTATGTACTTGTAGTAAAAATTTAAAAATGTACAAGGCTAGAGCTAAGGGCTTTGATGCCTACATTTTGTCAAGTACAAATGCTTTTATTTTGAATCAATAACTGCACTATTGAGTGCATTTTTTCCAGTGAATGTGTTTGGCATGTAAACAAAAATGTTCACCTAACTTTTAAGTCTTGCTGAATGATTCAATACCACATTTTTATAGACTACAAACCCGCATGTTGGTCTTGTTTTTAAAGATAAAAGCACTGAAGACTCTATTTTACTATTTCAGTATTGTATACTGCAGATAATAAACAGGTCTTTGCAAACTGATTTCTGTATTGCTCTTCAGTTTCGCAAACCATATAGTCTGGTCTGGAAAATCACAGCACTAGTCTGTAGGAACAACACCTCTTTCTCGTCCTATTAATAACTTGAGAAGAAATAAGCCAAGATTTGTGTTCGGAATTGACTGTAACCAGAAGATGACTTATATTGAGTTCAGTAGATTAAAATCACATGGTCTTGATAACACAAATATTGTCAAGCAATGTATACCTCAGTGCTTGCAGCGCTTTGATTATATTTAGGCATTACATAATTATAGACTATAAAACTTATGACGAACTCTTTTATTTCAATCCAAAATTAACAAAATTGAAGAAATTAAATAAAAGAAATTTGAAGGGGACGCCGTGTTTTTCTTACCAAATATGAGAGTGTGATTTTCAGAGGAAAATATGATAAATTTTGACCCAAAACATTTAATGCATCTATTTGATTCATCTTTATTTGTGAGGCATTCACATAAAGCTTAAGAAGTTATCTTTCATTTGATACCATTCTTTAATATAAAAAAGTTACGAGGGGCGCCGTGTTTTCCTTCACTTTATTTAGAAATAGTGGAGAAGCGCCGGGTTTTATACCTGTCCGTACATTTCCGTAACAGAAATTCATTATTACTTAAAAAGGGGCGGGGTTTTACGTTTCATTTGTATATTTCAGGTACAGATAGATATCTGTAAGTGTGCAAAGTTGCTTATGTATTATTTGCAATGGTTGATACGAACTTGTAAATTTGTTGTTGTTTTCCATGTTTAGTCAATTGTTACGATCTACATGTAAACATGTTATTTAAAAGCGGGTGCCTTCAATTAAAATATTGGATTAAGAGGCATATCATTTGCTGTGCACAAATACAATAAAAAATGCTAGACATACACGTTTGCATTTTCAAATGTAGTTTTCAAAAGGAACAATTTACATGTCTGGAATTTTGGCATCGAACGCCCTCCATATAAGACATCCATAACTTTTTATTCACTCGCTAACAATGTACTTAAAAAAAGTAGAAAATTATTTGAATAATTAAAGTATAAATTCATTCAAATGTCTCTAGTACTGCATTGAATTTATAACATTGTATCACTATTGGATATCGGATAAACACATGAATAATGGTGCAAACAAAGGCAAAGGAAAAATTAAATATCTAGTAATCTTAAGCTGCTTTTTTAAACGATCAGAGATCGATTTTTTTCTTATTTAAAGTATTTAAAAGGTTATAAATAAATAAATAAATAAATTTCAACAAACAAGCATGTATAATAAATCTGTGAGGAAGATAAGCTCAATTATAATGTAGGAATTTTTCTGTTGATCATTAATATTTCATTGTTTCAAAGACAAGAATATAATAACTTAATAGTTTAATTGAAAATGTTGATCTATAAAAAGCAATTATTATTCTTATAAGATGTACCAGGAAACAGCAATTAGTATTTGAATAACAGTAAGGAAATAAGTCATTCACAAATGGTTTCACTATTCCCTAACCTGAGTTGCGGAAGAAGCCACTTAACCGAAGTATGAGTACTGTCATGTATTTTTCAATGAGATATTAAATACTAAATAGGATTACAATGACTTACTATCTGATCTAAGATTGAAATAGAAAATATACATGTTTTCTTCAGTTGTTATAAATCTAATAATAAATATGTCTCTGTCACCAACTTAAAGTGTAAGTCTTCTAAATCTGAAGTTTCCTTAAAAACAAATGAGTAAAAGAAAGATGGACCACCTGTGTTCAGAAAGGACCACCTGAATTTTGGATCCAGTGGTCCGGCATACCACCTGCTGAAAAAGTTAGTGTCGAGCCCTGAAAACCTATTTTTATTTTTATTGATCTGAAAGTACAAAATATCAACCTGTTGACATTAATACGTTTTGGTTATAATTGTACATAAATTGTCATTTTTGAATTGATTATGATTATCAGATATATTTTATATTTTCAATTATAATCTTACTTATATAAACTTTATTTTCTTTGGATGTCAAATAAATACATTCTTTATGCGTAATAAAAAATTACACCCTCTGTTTTTGTTTACATCTAAAACAAAATGGTAGTTCTACTTTAAATTAGAATCATCATGTTTCTATGTATAAGTTATTATTTTTTAATCAAATTAATTTAGATAATTAAAAGTTTGAATAAAAATGATTTTAATTGTTTTATTATCCACGAGTCGAACTTATTCCTAAAAGAATAATTCTACATGTAGACGATATTTTTAAATGCAATATCTATCGGAAATATTCTCCGGCTTCCGTTTTACAAACATTGACATAGAGCGGAACGGGGAACCACGCACGTGTTGCGGGAAATCACTTTTTCGTTTTAGGAATTACCGTCTACATGTAGATTTTTTCTTAAAATACAGGCACATGGGACTAAGTGCCACTCGTGGGTGATAAAGCCATTTAAAAGTATGTAAAATCTAGTTGTGTGCATGTGTGTTCGACTCATTTGAACATTTTTGTTGATGCATTTCAAATACCAAGCTACAATGTACATATCATGACGGTCTGATCTTTCGGACCTGGATTATTTCTGACTTTTGGGCTTTACTGCGGTACAAATAAGGATCTGTTCATAGTCAGTTTTAAAAGAAAAATATATATTGCATCGATTCCATGCAAAAATCCGACGCTAGTACCACCCGGTGGGAAATTTTGACAGAGAGAACGGACATACCCGTAATTTTCGTACTCGGATGTTGCATACCTTGTCTATAACAATATAAGTAAAAATTGTTTTTTTTTTTCATTTTTATTCTTTTTAACATATGGATACTTTGTTGCATAAATAACAAGGTTAAACACATTTTAAGTATTAGCACCTTTGAATCAAAATATATCACACATAACACATGAGACATATTTACAAAGATGTGAGTCTCATTAACACTCTACTACCATGTTTTGTGAAAAAATACGTTTTTTTTGTTAAGCAATACAGTTTTTTGGGTAACTGTGATTTTGTTGGTAGAAAGCGGGAGTGATTTTTGTAGGTAGATAGCGGGAGTGATTTTTGTAGGTAGATAGCGAGAGTGTGATTTTTGTAGGTAGATAGCGGGAGTGATTTTTGTAGGTAGCAGGAGTGATTTTTAAGGTAGATAGCGGGAGTGATTTTTGTAGGTAGATAGCGGGAGTGATTTCTGTAGGTAGATAGCGGGATTTATTTCTGTAGGTAGATAGCGGGTGTGATTCTTTTGTAGGAAGATAGCGGGAGTGATTTTTGTAGGTAGATAGCGGGAGTGATTTTTGTAGGTAGATAGCGGGAGTGATTTTTGTAGGTAGATTAGCGGGAGTGATTCTGTAGATAAATAGCGGGAGTGATTTCTGTAGGTAGATAGCGGGAGTGATTTTTGTAGGTAGATTGCGGGAATGATTTTTTAGGTACATAGCGGGAGTGATTTTTGTTGGTAGATAGCGGGAGTGATTTCTGTAGGTAGATAGCAGGAGTGATTTTTGTAGGTAGATAGCGGGAGGGGAAACAAAAATGTTTTAACAATCATACTCTTAATGAGGAGACAGATATTTTGGTTGAATGTTAAAATTGATCTTTAAACTAATCGTCGTCATACAGCAAAGATATTTATAAACAAAAACTGTTTAGTCGACATGAAGAAAGTACTTTCCCTATTGTAATAATGGTGCATTGCAAAAATCATGGAAATGAATTAACATCTCGCAATCTATAAAACGAAATTTAATAGATGCTTATAAGATTAAAAAATGAACAAAATGTTTTTCTTACTAGCGTCTAAATAACTAGATTGAAAAAACTTTGCCCTACTTTGCCATGCAGTATGAAAGCCAAATTTGATTTTTTCTTTCTGATAGTCTATTTCGCATAAATTGGCATCAATAGAGTTCGCCTAACCACTCTTTTAGACGACGCGTCTATCTATTATGTCAACGAATAAGTTAGTAAGATGCTTACAAGAAAAAGAAATGTCTTAAACAGCTTGTAACAATATTTAAATGAATGATTAATAAATGCTTTTGAAGAAAGTTTATGACGTCATTACAGTTCATAAGCAGACTATAGAGAATCATACATCATGGTGCGGTCCGAACCTGCGATGACCGACGAGGATGGTAATTTTTTGAAAAGCTTGTCTGCATTACGTCTAGTCAAAGAAAGTGTTGAACCATTAGTTAAAAAAGGTTCACTTCAGTATACGGAAGAAATAATTAATCAGGCAAGACAGGAAGCTGGGCTATATGGAAAAGACATTTGTGGACATTGTACAACTCATAATGCTGTACCATGTAAACCTGGAAATGGACTTTGTCATTATGACAAAGACGGGAATTGTCGATTCCATGATACAAGTGATCCTCTGAAGGCATTTAAAATTTGCCCAAAGGGTATCTGCAACCGGATTGTCCGAATAATAAAATCACGACATAGGTTTCATTCACCTACTTTCAAAAACACTGATGCAAGAAGGTGGTTTCAAAACCCATTTGAAATTATGAAATGCTTTATCCCGACTGATGGTTATCAAGCCATCGAAACAGTTGAAAAAACAGATCTTGTAGGATTGTTATCAGTGATAATTAACTGCAAATCCTTCCAGTCTCTAGTAGCAGCAGACCTAGGAGCTCAACATAACATTTTTGATAAGGTATGTAACATATAGCCAATTAGAGTAAATTATTAGCTCATCATGAACTATTTAGGTTACTCATTTTCCGTTGTCAGCTCGCTTTGTCTACACTTTTATTTAAATGTCATATAATTTTTGAGCCATCAAAAAGTTTATTTTATGATTATGTTAATAATATAACACATTTATGAAATTAAATTTACAAATTGGACTTCTATCAATATTTTCATCGGTTACAAATAGCAGTAATTTTACGAACATCATTTTTCCAATTTTGATATTTTTCGATTCCTTTCCTGATGTGTTTTGTAAGAATGATCTCCATATTGATTTTGATATGTATTACGATTACGATAAAGGGTTAGAATCCCTAATGAAAAATATTAATTTTAATGTAGATCCCTTTTTTTGTAAAGCCAATAAGGTAAAGATACATTAATTATGCCCCCTTTAAAGAAGTAGGGGTACATTGCTTTCAATGTGTCTGTCCTCCGTCGGTCTGTCGGTCCGTATACCAAATGGTTTCCGATCAATAACTAAATAACTCTAAGGCCTATGAACTTTAAACTTAGTAGGATGATTTACACCATGTAGATGACCTCTATTGATGTAGGGGTCAAGGGGTCAAAGGTCAAGGTCACATTGATCTTGTAGGTTAAAACGGTTTCCGATTAATAGCTAAAAAACGCTTAGGTCTAGGAACTTCAAACTTGGTACGATGATTGTACATGACCAGTAAATGACCCCTATTGATTTTTGGGTCAAGGGGACAAAGGTCAAGGTCACATTGACTTTGTATACTTTGTATGTAAAAACTGTTTCTGATCAATAACGCTTAGGCCTAGGAACTTCAAACTTGGCATGATGAATATACATGACCTGTAGATGACCCTTTTTGATTTTGGGGTCAAAGGTCAAGGTCACAATGACTTTGTAGTTTCCAATCTATAATTAGTGAAAAACGCTTAGACCTAGGGACTTCAAACTTGTTATGATGATTGTTTATGACTAGATGATGACTTCTATTGATTTTGGGGTCAAGGAATCAAAGGTCAAGGTCACATTGACATTGTATGTAAAACTGTTTCTGATCGCTTTGGCCTAGGAACTTCAAACTTGATATGATTAAACATAACAGGTAGATGACCTCTATCGGTTTTGGGGTCAAGGTCACATTAACCTTGTAGGTAAAAACAGTTTCCGATCAATAACTAAAAAACGCTAAGGCCTAGGAACTTTAAACTTGGTATGATGATTGTATATGACTAGAAGATGACTTATATTGATTTTGGGGTCAAAGAATCAAAAATCAATGTCACATTTGCTTTGTATGTAAAAACAGTTTCCAATCAATTTACTAAGAACGCTTAGACCAAGGGACTTCAAACTTGGTATGATTATTGTATATGACTAGAAAATGACTTCTATCGATTTTTGGGTCAAAGGTCAAGGTCACATTGACCTTGTAGGTAAAAACAATTTCCGATCAAAAACCAAAGAACGCTTAGTCCTGGCAACTTCAAACTTGGAACGATGTTGTTAATGACGAGTAGATTACCCTTATTGATTTTTGGGTCAAGTGGTCAAAGGGCAAGATCACATTGACCTTGAAGGTAAAAACGGATTCCGACCAATAACTCGACAACTGAATTTGCCTTGGTTGATATTTATTACTTGTAAACTAAAGATGCTTTTAAACACATTTCAAGGTGTTATGTAATATTACAAATTGGCTGTCATTTAGAAGGCTTACATGATTTATAAAATGTATGCATATATTATTTGGTATGATTTGTGATAACTTTGTCATAAAATTGCTGCACAAAAACCTAAAGGTCACAAATACCTATTGACTATTCATGACAAGTGTATAACCTATATTAATTGTTTGGTCACTATGTCAAAAGTCAGTCATAATAACCTGACCACATAACTAATGGCTGCCGATAGAAGGGGCATGCATGTTTTACAAATATATCTTGTTAACATATTATTTTACAAAGCTCAAATTTCTACACTACGTATAATAAGACAATTTACAGGACTGTTTGCTCAGATAAATGATCAGGCAGTGTCTGTGCTCACATGAAACATGTATTTTAACAAGCTTTTAAGGTCTTTCGTTGCCTTCTTGTTTAATATAATTTGAAACTTATGTTCACATATTTCATATCATTGTTTTATTCTCTGTTAATGTAAAAAATTGATGCATATTTTCACATAAAATTAGACTAGTTATTAAGTTGCAATTTTAAAATCTGAAAAAAATGACATTTGTTTTCAGATGAGAGAAATCAGAAACAAGACGTTTCATTCTGCGGATTACAATATTACAGACAGAGACTTGCAGGAGCACATGAAGCTTATGCTATCTATCTTAAATGATGCAATGTTTCTAGCACATGATAAAGATGCACAGACTGCAGCTGAAAAGATACAAGAAGTGCGTCATATTTACAATCACCCGTGATTTTTTATAGATCCTTCTATCTTATTTTACAATTTACAATATGAGAGCAATGAATGAAGGTTCAAAATTTTAAGATTGTAGTGAGTTAGAGAGAGAGGAAAAAATTCACATTGAGAGAGAGCTTCCTTTTTGTTAGTTTTTCACCGCACTTGTATAATTATCTTAAAATATCAAACGAATGATATAATAAATGTTTTTATTCTTACTTCTTCCCGTTCATTTTTAATGTTTTGATACATTTATACAATTTTGTTTTATTTGTTTCAGCTTTTTTACTTATTTACAGTTTAACTTTTATTTTTTGGTAATCTTAATTAAATCATTACAACAGATTGCTGACAGTTCTGTACACGTATACTGTGGTGAAGAAGTGCAAGATCCAGATCTAAATCCTGAATCTGACTTCAGCTGGGGAAAGACTATCAGAGGTAAGCGATTCTTTAAAACTATAGATACTATTGATATTATATTGCTGAGAAAAATATAAAGACAACTTAGAATCAATGAAATACATACATTTGCTGAAACTCTTGTGAGGATTTACTGACAAAATAAAGTTAAATCATTCAAAAATTCATATTTGTTTAGGTGCTTTTATTGATTATTTAAACATTTAGTTTAATGTTATTTTATTGCATAATTGTATCTAAATTTTAACAGGCAAATGAAATACAAAGAATACTTTGTTGATAGTTAATTGGTGTCAGTCAGATATATCATTGACCTTAGTCCCGACCACAACAGGTTAATTGCATAAAATAATTGTTTGCCTTCGTTTTTGCATGATGATAACATATGAACGATTTAGATAATTGCGTTACTATTTAGTATGACAATATTTTAAAGGTGAACTTCCTCAACAATCCCTCATAATTGAGTGTTATGCCTCTCATGTTCATTTTTGCCATGAATTTATTCATTGCCTACGACAGTACAGTATGCCTTTTGTCAGATTGTAATGTATGGGCACATATGTCTGTGTAAATTGTACAATTTTCCTAATGGGATACATTTCATTTCAATTAAACTCGGTTAATGTCATTAAAAGGCAAATTGGATATTAATTATTTTGTAACAGACTTTCAGCAGACAAAATGAATGACATGTCAATTCAGGTTTTTACTACACCGTATTATCAATATTTTATTTTATTACCTGATACCTTATATAAATGTAATTTGGTATTTTTAACTGTTTTCTAAAATTCTAAAAAAGTCAACGTTCGCGAACTGTTCACCGGTCAGCAGTTTTGACTGTTTCCCTCGCGTACTCTAACATCATTGACGTCATAGAGGATTCCCCTGATCATGATCATAAACCAGACGTGACGTAACATAGTTAAAGTATTAAGTTTTATTATTAACATATATGCAAAACTATCTTTTTGTTGCAAGTACTGTTAAAACAGTAATTGATCAGGTAATAAAACAGTTATTGCATACGTGATTTGGGAACAGTCAAACATTTGTCCCTCGGTGTCGGTGATCGGCCTTGGGCAACAGTTCAAAACACTATCCCCTCCACCTCGGGCCAACATTTTGACTGTTCCCAAATCGCATATGAAATAACTGTATAATGTATTATTATAATATATGATCTCAATATAACAGCAATCCCATTGCTTTTTGCAATAATGTAAAATTTAAATAACCCAGTTTTTATAACACGTAAACCTCTATACACATATCTCTTACATGATACTTACGTGTGTTTGTTTTCCTTTTCAGAGAATGCTAGAGGTATGTACTTTTTTATCTCAAGAATTGTGTGATTCCTCAAATACATTTTATTTAGTCTTTGTGTAATGTGATAACAAATTATATTGCAGGCTCCGCCCCCTGGGGGTCATAGGTTTTTTTTTCATGTATATAGCAAAACCTTAAAAACCTTTTTTTATGAATTGACAATAGCTAGAGGTTAGGTATTTGGCATGAAACTTTGTTTAAGGGAATACTAACAAGATTGTTCAATTTATTGCCCTGGGGTCAAAATAAACCTTGCCCTAGGGTCATTCATTTTCAGTATGTACATATAGATTTAAAAATACTTTTGTCGGTAGGTACAAGGTTTAGAGCTTTGTTTTTGGAAAAAATATTATTATGGCCCTCACAACTTTTTAAAATTTCGTCCGTAGTTCAAAATTTGGTCCCCCCTCCAGGTCTCATTTTTCCTTTTTAATGTCATTTTAAAACTTAAAAGTTCCCCCAAATTTGAAAAAGGGGTGGGTTTTAAACCAAATAAACTTGTTTAGTAAACACAAGGTTTTTAAAATTTTGCCTAGTGTAAAAATTTGGCCCCATTGGGGGTCATTGATTTTTTTAGAAATAAAAAAAAAGAAAAAAAAATTTTTTCTAAAACAGGAAATTTTTAGGTTGATTTTTGGGGGAAAAATTTTTTGTGGGACCTGAATAAAGAAAAAATTAAAAATTTAAGTATGGGTTTAAAATTTGTCAAAAAATGAAAAATTAAATTTCAGCTGGTTTTGTTTTTTGATGATTTTCCCCCCCTTCTTGCATGAATTTTGGAAAAAGGAAAAATTTTGAGATGTAAAATTTGAATTAAAATATCAGTCCCAAATTTTTGCCTTGTGACCTTTTGCTTAAAAAGAGCGTATTTTTAAATTAAGGTTACTTTAAGTAAATTCATTTTGATAGGGAAGTTTTGTTTTAGTTGGGTTTTTTTTTTAATAAAATAAGTTTTTTCGAAAAATTTAAAAACTGAACAAAATCCTGCGGCTTTCAAGCCTTTTTAAAATTTTTCCCAAAAAAAAGCAGCGACGTCATAAAAAAAAAACGGCTTGTTGGGAATGTGATATATGGTAAAAGAAATGTCTGAAACATTGGAAAAGGGAAAGGCAAATTTTTTAAATGGTTTTTTAACAGACCCAAATATCAAAAACGAGCTTAAAAAAAATTTTTGAATTTAAACAAAAAAAAAAAAAAAAAAAAAAAGCCCGGGGTTTTAAAAAAACCCTTTTTTAAATTTTCAGATTTAAATGTCAGTTTTTCCCTGAAACGTGGGTTTAATATATAGTGATGAGAAAAGCATATCCCCTTCCCGAAAAATTTAAATTCGGGGAAAGGTTTTTAAATTTCACTTTGAAACAACGTACAAATTTCAAAAAGGGTTTGGGACGGACGGTTAAAAGTTTTCGGGGTTCCTAAAAGGCCCTTTATTTTATTTTTCATTAAACCCTTAAACCAGGGTTACGAATGCCAAAATTTTAAAAAAAATTTTTTCACCATCAACCAAAATAACATTATAACCCTTGATTTCCCCACCATAGTCTTTCCAAAGCCCTAAAAAAAAAAATTCGATTATAAACAAATCCTAAACCCATTTTAACCATTTAAAGATCTTTTTCCCCCAATATTTAAAAAGGATTTTTCTTTTTTTTTATGCCCTAAAAGATTATCGTTAAAAGTGGAAAGGTTTTTTGGAAAAAAACCTAGATTTCGCGCGCCCCCAAATATTTATTTTTAATTTTAAAAACGTTATTTTCCCGAAACGGGGGGGTAAAAAATTTGGCAAATTTATTTTCAATTTTTAAATTTTAAAAATTTTAGGGGTTTGGTTTTAAAAAGATATTTTTTGGTTTTTCCATTTTTCGGCCCGGGGCTTTATTTTAAACCCTTTAGTTTCAAATTTAAAAAACCCTTACTCGACATTTTTGAAGAAATGCAGGCCTATAAATTTTTTTTTGCATTTTGAATATTCGGGTTTAGTTCCCTTTTTAATATTTTTATTTTTTGTCTACTTTTTTACCCCCGATTTAACACAATTTTTGAGTTTTTGACTGGCGTTCTTAAAGGGCGGTGAAAAAGAAATTTTTTATTTATGGCCCCCTTTTTATTTTTTTTTTGTTTTTTTTTTGGTGTTTTTTTTTATTTAAAAATTTTTGTCAAAAAAAATAAATTTTATCAGATGTTTGGGTTTTTAAAATCACCGGGTACTTTCGAAAAACCGGCTTGTCTTAAATTGTTTCCCTTTTTTCCGGGCACGTTTGGCAAATACAACTTTTCGCGGCTTTGGGGGAAAGCAGATTTTAAAAGGGTTGAAAAATGGGAAAGCAGGGGCCACCTTCCGCTAGGTTGGTGCGGCGCTTGGTATACACCACATCGCTTGGTATACACCAGAGCCTGTGAGAGATACCGTCTACATGGTACACCCGCCAGGAGGCATGCTGGAGGTCAGTAAAGGGTCACAACACCAGCTCAGCCTCGGTTGTTTGGTCGTTCAGGCACGTCGTGCAAGGTTTTCAGCAACATGGCCCGTTTGATGGACCATGGAGCAAACAATGTGGACCATGCAACACTCGTGACACTTTCTGTGCACTAATGAGCCAATGTTCTGCCTAGACTTCACAGATAGGCGTGCTAGAGTATTGAAAAGACAAGGTGAACCGTTTTAGGCTGCAAATATTGCTGAGCATTAATGTTACGGGGTTGGTTAGTTATGGTGTTGGAGGCATTAGCTGGAATGGACGAATCGCCCTGGTTGTGCTAGAAAAGAGGCACAATGACAGGTCAGCGATACATAGACGACATCTTAGACAACCAGGTTAGATTTATGCTGGAGCAGTCGGCGATCAGTTTTTTATAATGGACGATAATGCTCGTATTCATAGGGCCAGGACTTCCTAGAATCGGAGTCTATTGAGCGCATGGACTGGCCAGCTCTCTCCCCTGACTTAAATCAATAGAACACATTTGGAATGAGCTGAAATTTCAGTTCTTCAGCTGCAACCCAGAGCCATCCAGGAGCCTGGAGCAATGTTGGTCCAGGAATCGGCAGTCATACCCGTTAGGACGATCAGAAACCTAATAGGAAGTATGAAAAGGCGCAAACAAGCTGTCCTTGAATAACACACACGGGGTTAAGTTTAAAACTTTTAAAAAGTAACAAGGTTGATAAAAAAAACACGCTGCATGTTCTGAAATCTACAAAGAGGGAATCATCCGCTTCTTTAGCACACAATCAGTGTAAAACTCATTTATAGGTTTTAATTCGACCTTAACCTAAATTGATAAAATAGTAAATCAAAATTTTAAAACCTTTCGCACGGCGTTAATAAAATTACCCCCCCCCCCCCCAAAAAAAAAAAATCACACTCAAACGTATGGTGCGTAGCAAAAGTTGAGTAGTATATTTAATGAGTGTCATTATTCGCTCATATCACTCGCATGTTTGTATTTTACTTAACTCAAAACAAAATAGCGCTGGATATGATTATTATTCCCTAACACTTGATGTGGAGGGGGGTCTATTCAGGAATCACATGTGGCGTGGGTCGACCGGTCGGTCAGTCCGACTCCATCATGTTCGCTGTAGTAAATAAAACTACACCCATGAAAGGATTTTCTTTCCACTTGGCTAAAATGTTCACCTTATTAAAGCAAAACCCATGTCATCACTTTGCCGTTTCAAGGTCAATGTCACCTTGGAAGGTCAAAGGTTATAATTATCAGACAGTATCCAGTCTGTTCCATTACTCAATAATTCTCCACATTTTGCTTAAAATATTAAACGCAACAAGCAATGCCATCACTTTGCTGGCTTAAGTTGGAGGTCACCCGTCATGATCAAGGTCAAATACATTTGAAGTTTGTTTTCGCTCCCTTAGTTATATACACCTTAAAGGGTTTTCTTTGAACATGACTCAAATGTTTATCTTACCATGGTGATGTGCTAAACTCATACAGCCTCTGTGCAGTCAAGACCACCATTGAATCTCTAAAATCATGTACCCCGTGATATTCTTTAAACTCGACTCAAAAGTTAACCTATACGAGGCGATGTGCCAAACTCATGCCACCTCTCTACAGATTTATATTTATATCATTAAATTGCTATTTTCATTAAATGTTAACAGATCATCATTTAAAAATGGTAAAAATGGATACAGTTAGAATATGTTTTGCTTTTTCGTAGAAGGGATATCATGACATTATTTTTTATATATTTTTCATGGCAATTTGATCTAAATATCTCCAATTATTAAATTAATTTACTTCAACCTTCTTTAAGAACTGTCATATAGCTATATGTATTGCTTAGAAACATTTCTAATGCCAGAAAAGCCTTATTTTATATCACAACCACGAATTTTTATTAACCATCTGAAGGTTATATTAACATAAACTTTAAAATAAATAAATTTTCTGTTCTAATAATTTTGAAAATCAATTGAGTAGTAATTTTAATGATTATTTTGGTTCCAAACGAGTTAATAATTAACAGACAAATATTGATCTTTCGCATGCAGTAGCATAGCAACATTCTTTTGGAAACAAATACTTTAACTGTTGCTTAGAAATGTTGCTGGTAAAATTACGGTTTTTCAAGTTTTAAAAAAAACTTCAGTTTTTCTTACTTGAATTAAACACTATTCAGAGGGTAATTATCATATATTTTTTTAATATCGTGGGCTTCATTTATGTACGTTATAAGAATAAAACTCTTAAACTTGCCACAAATATCTGAAATTCGAAATAATAAGAAACGGTATGTAAATAGCAAAGCATTTGTATTCCGGAGTTAATAAAAGGTTCAATCCTTGTGTTATGAACTGGTATTTTACCCTCATATATAACTTTCATAAAACTTCACTAAAAATCATGAAGTATAAATTCAGTTTCTACTAAAGTTTTGCTTTAATATATTTTTTAAAATATTACTGTTATTGTTGCTTCAAAAATCGATTTTTCGAAATAATATAAATCGCTGTGTGAATTGCAAAGGAAAACTACATTTCCGTTTCCGACTTTATATTTTGTTTTTATCATCAAACAAATGCATGTACAACTTAGTCTAATAACAAGTACAATTGTTATACCTCACATTTTATGTGGAGGGGCTTTGGTTTGTTGCGACTTTAATAACTTGTCTGGATGTTTCAATATGAACTTGAACATTTATCATCTTTATATAAAATTAAAAGATATGTACTGACTGAATAGCGGACAGTACAGACCATGATTATACGGCACAGACATACCATTTTGTTTTGGTCTGTAGTGATCGAATCTGTAGATAATAGGCTAAATACAATTAAATGGAGTATTAACATGGCTATAGACGTTATGCATAATTCCATGGGGTAAAAATTGAGTGAGCTATACAAAATATTAAAGAAAAATGTAAGCATCAGGATGAAGCAGATATAAACATCATTTTATTATGGCAGCTCAAATGTTTGCAATGGACTACGCGGTTAAATGAGTGCCATCAAAATTTACGAATTGGACGGATTTTTAGGAAAGGTTTATTGAAGGTCGTCTTCCAGAGTTTTAATTTTCAATACCATAATTACTATATGTATCAAAAAGAATCACATGCTTGACAAGTAAATATAGCATGCTTGCTAAGTTCGTATATCAGTCTTTTTGTTGTTATATTGTATTGCTTATTACCCGTCGTCTGGTGCATTTCTAAAAAACATATTTAACTTTCCATAAACTTTACTCAGAGTGTGATATAAAGATGTGTGTCATATTTTTGACATTTATAGATGTTATTAAATAAATATGTTTCACTAGCATTAAGATACGCAATAAAAATTGAAAATGCCAATCCATTTGCCTTTCATATCTTATATTTATATGTCTTCGTCTGGCAATATATAGTAATGGTTTTGCAAGTGATATTACTTTCTCTGAAATGTTTCATTTTAAACTAATCTGGCGATTTTCATAACATGAAATAACATTTTATATCCCAGCAAAGTTTTTAAAAATCTTGTTAGTAATGGTTTTAATAATCATTGTGGTTCCAAACAAGCTCTTACCGTTTTAATCTTTTAACATGATTCGCGAATAAAATGGTCAGTCCTTGTGGTAGAACTGGTATTTTTCCTTCATATATATAACTTTCATTAAACTTTTAAAAACTACAAATAATGGAGTATTTATTTAGATTCTATCAAAGTTTTCCATTAATATACAATTTTAAGACGTAATTTTTGATATTGTTTTAAATAATCGATTTTTCAAAATAGTTAGTCTCGCTGTGTGAAATGAAAGGAAAATAATTTTCGTTTCGGACATAATATTTTGTTTTCATCATCAAGCAAATGTTTGAACAACTTAGTCCAATAACAATATCAGTTTAATTTTTATACCTCACATTTTATGTGGATGGGGTTTTGCTTTGTCGCGTCATGAATGACTTGTCTAGCTTTCAACATGAACTTGATCATTTATCATTTATATAAAATTAAAAGATCATTTACTGATGAATAGAGACAATGAAATACCATGATAAGAGGTACAGACGTACTTGCTAGAATCTTGCCTGATCGCATGTGAGATTATATTATAACCGACGGTGTTAAATACAATTTATGGAGTATTAACATAGGTATAATTGTTATGCATCATTTCGATGGGTACAGATTTGAGTGAGTCTTTTGGCACAACCGTGAACTAAAATATCAAAGAAAAATGTCGCATCAGGATAAAGCAGATAAAGCAGATAAAACATGGCAGCCTAAAATGGATGGTATGTACCCCGCGGTTAAAATTGCTTTCTTACATAATAAATGCGATAGTATTCCCTGGAGTTTTTTAAAAATGAAAGACAGTTATGTATCATGAAAACACCTTACAAGCGTTTATTATCACAGTCTATACAGTCTCATGTACATAGCAAACATTGTTAATTCTATACATAGATGAATATCATCTATATACAAATATTACATGGATTACTTATGTATTAAATTTAATAATCCTTACAGTGAAATATTTTTTATTGAACGAATATCTGGTGATGGCCAAAAGTAGTGAAATGGAACCATGTGTTTAAAAGTAAAAAAATGCTGGAAACAAAAGGTGATCCCCTCGCGAAGCCAATAAACAAAGCGGAGAGCTGACATTTCAAAGAACGATAAATGGCGTATCAGCAGGAAACATCAAACAAACCTAAACAATCTATGTAATTGTGTTTGCTGTCAAAAATAAAACAAGCAGGCACACCAAATGTTTTCCACGAAATCAATTCGCAAACTGACTAGTGGTGAAACTAATTTGGTGAAACTCGGAAAACAAGAATTCGGTAGAAGGCAAGTCCTGACTACCACATCAGGCTGATAATGGGTACGATACGCAATGCCTGAGGCAAGTTTCTGTTGAAATGGACGAGTTCGATTACAAATTTCAAATTTTGATCTGAATCATATCTACACATCTTGACAAAAGCGTTTGGAAATAAATATAGTAATCTTTTTTTTTATCAATGTAGGTTAAAACCCTTTTTTCATACTTTTTAAATTGGTAGCAA